GATTTTTCCCCATTTAAAACATCGCAATGCAATCGCAAAAGCGATCGCAAAAAGTTCGTCGGTATGCGATTTCATTGTTAAACGGGGCGCCCATTAAGCGAGGCACCACTGTACTTTCTTCCCTCTCTCTGTTGCTTTCCCTCATGTTGTATTATATTTATCTCCAATCTTTTCTGCAGTGAGCTCAAGGCATACATGACTTTCTTCATACCAGCTTTATCCTCACTCAGCTGAAAGACAGTGACAGGCCCACTGCGCTCCAATGAGTTTTGTAGCTAAGTGGAGACCTGACCTTGGATGTCCAAAATCCTAGTCTAGCACCCTTAAACACTATCCCACAATGGCACTCTATGTTCCTTCAAGGCAAGACTTGCCTGTTTTTTATCTGTATGACTGTAAATTACTATGTACAGTATGATTTTGTATAGATATCCATCATCCTCATCTTCATCATATGCTAAAAACAACCAAACTCTTCTGTGTTCTGATCTACAATTTTCTGTGATACTTACAGTACAGTTACAGAGATGAAAACATTTGTGCCAGGTCTGACTTCTTTAAAAAAATTATATGTTGACAACAGTTTGATGGTTTTAGTGAGGTGCCTTCTTTAGAGATATGGAGGAAGAATCAAAATGTAGTTGTGTATTTTTACCCCTTTGGTTCATATACTTAGTGTGGCACAGGCACCAGTAATACAAGATATTTTAAGATCATAGCCTTAAATTTAGTACAAAGGTGTATAACTTCCACAGACCTGGGGGCAAAACTGTCCCCTCTGGGACCTTGGAATATCATCCCTTTCAGGCAATTTTTTAAAAAAAGGCATTGGCCTGAAATAGCTCTATATACAGTGGTGCCTTGACTTACGAACGTAATCCGTCCCAGAAGATGTTCGTAAGTCAAAACGTTCATAAGTCAAGTCAACAGTTCCCATAGGAATGCATTGAAACCCAATTAATCCATTCCGGCTGTTTCTTGTTCGTATGTAGAGGTGCCATTTGTAAGTCAAAGCATTAGTTCCCATAGGAACTAATGCAAAACTGGTTAATCCATCCTCTACCACTGGGGGGAGAATTTTTTTAAACCTAAGATGACTTAGGTTTTAAAAAAGGATAGGAAAGGAGGGAGGGAGGGAACGAACACCTTTTAAACAGAACATCTTTAAAACCAAGCAGCTTTAAACCAAACCTAGCACCTTTTAAACCACTTTTTACATTTTAAAATTATAGTACCAGGCAGTCCAAAGTCCATTTCCTGCTTTCCCCACTTTTTTTGTTCGTAAGTCACAGCTCTGTTCGCATGTCAAAGCAAAATTTTGCGAACGGAGCTCTTTGTAAGTCAAAAAGTTTGTATGTCAGGGTGTTTGTAAGTCAAGGCACCACTATATGTCACAGTTGGCTGTTTGGGGCCATCTTTTCATTCTGTACCTTATTGAGATCCATTTAGGTATTGTTTCATAAATTCCTTCTTTTGGTGGGGCAGGGCAGTGGGAAGTGTCTACATGACTTAATAAAATACGGCAATAATGAACCACAGTGGCCAATTGTACATTCTAAAAATTGTGGTTTTTAGGTGCAATTTTTAATGGAGGTCACAGAGGTCACATTTTTCCCCCTCCCTTAATAGGATAACAACAAAATGAATATTTTCTGCCTCTTTTGGGTGAGTGACAAATTATATTTATTAGATAATGAGAAGATTTGTGTATGTTGTGTGCCCTCAAGTTAAAACTGACTTACAATAATCCTATAAAACATTCTGAGTATTCTCTACCTGGAAAACCCTGAAGAGGGTTGTCATGAGTCAAAATTGACTTCATGACTAGCGATGGGGGGGTATTTATATGCGAATACACCCCCGCAGGTGGAGATAACAAGGGTCCAGTCCCTTGGGGCCAGAAGTTCCATTCACTGTTCTGCTGCTGCTGCTGCTGCAGGCTCCGCGCTCTGTTTCTATCACTCTGGAGCTCAAGGTGGATTAGCCACTCTTAGACCTGGCAGAGAGGCTCGTCATCCCACCTCCTGCCAGGAGTGGCTAATCCACCGCCATCTCCGGAGCGATAGGAATGGAGCACGAAGCCTGCAGCAGCGGAACGATGAGTGGACAGTCTGGCCCCAACGGGCTGGACCTTCGTTATCTCCAGCTGTGGGGGGGTATTCATATATAAATACTCCCATCTCTATTCATGACACATGATTATTATTATAGGTTTTTTCAAGGTAAGTGAGATCCTTTTAGTGGTTTTCGTTCTTCTTCACTTCGTCCTCGTAGCCTGGTATAGACAAGTGTGGCACAAATGGTTTTAAACTCAACTTTTTTGTTGTTTTTTTTAATTCAGACATACAAAAAACAAAAATAGAAAAAGAAAAAAGAATAATAAAGAAGAAAAACCAACCTAAACCTTCTACTAAGCAAAACCCCCCCCGCTTTGGAGTCAGAGACTCCAGCCTCGTTAACCCTCCGCTCTCCCCGGTTTGGTTTCCAGTGTATACTAAGTAGATGCAGTCGTGCCCCGCTTAACGATTACCCCATATAATGATAAATCCGCTTCACGACGATGTTTTTGCGATCGCAATTGCAATCGCAAAATGATGTTTTAAATGGTTTTTTTTTGCTTTGCAAAGATCGGTTCCCTGCTTCGGGAACCGATTCTTTGCATTACAACGATCAAAACAACTGATCATCGGGTTTTCAAAATGGCCCCCGGGTGCTCAGAATGTCTCCCCGCTGTGTTTTTGGACTGATTCCTCACTCTATAGGCACCAAAAATAGCTACCCCATGGAGGATCTTCGCTGGACGGTGAGTTTTCAGCCCATTGGAACGCATTGAACGGTTTTCAATGCATTTCAGTGGGCTTTTTTATTTCGCTTTATGACGTTTTCGCTCTACAGCAATTTCGCTGGAACGAATTAATGTCGTTAAGCGAGACACCACTGTATACATATATGGTAAAATTTGCTCTACACTCCTGTCTTCTTCTGGGCCAAAGAGTATATTAGTTCCCAGCTTTGTTTTACATAGTCCCTTGGTTGTTCCCGTAGTGCTTCTGATAGAGTGTCCAGTTCTGCTATATCCCATAGCTTCTTTAACAGTTCTTCTATCTTTGGAACCTCTTTGCTTTTCCATTTTTGGGCCCAGAGTAATCTAGCTGTTGTGAGTATATACATCAGACAATGCTTCAATTTTTTATCATTAATTCCTGGTATGACATTCAATAATGCCATTTCAGGTTTTATATCTAATTTCTGCTGGGTAATTTCTTTTACTAATTCCCACACCTGTGTCCAGTATTTTTTGACTTTTTTGCATGTCCACCACATATGATAATGAGTTCCTGCATTTTTTTACACTTCCAACATATATTGCTGTTACCCTCTGACATTTTTGCTAGTCTTACAGGTTTGTAATGCCATCTGTAAAACATTTTGAGGATATTTTCTCTGGAGATTTGCTGGTTTAATCATCTTATAGCTTTTCTTTCAACATTTTAGTCCAATCAGTTATATCCAAAAAATTGCCCATTTTACCATTGTCTCTTTCACCCTCTCATCCTCTAAATCATATTCTAATAAGTATGTGTACATTTTCTTAATTATCATCAAATTTTAATTATCAAAATTTCATCAGTATATATCCACAGTCTATCCACCTGTACTTTGCCCTCAAAGAAACCCACAGTCCTATCTTTTTTGTATCTTGATTCTAATTTTATCATTGACCACCAGTCAACAGCTACGCCCATTTTTTCAAGCTCTTGTTTGTCCTTTATCTTCTGCTCTTTAGTTAACAGATTTTCATATGTGGTCAGCATTCCTTTCTGGTTCTTAAACTCAACTTGTTACTCCCTGATCTCATGGCATATTCCTCTTAAGAGGACTCAGTCCACAGATTCTGGACATTTGTCAGTCCCTTGGACTAGGACAGCAAATTCCAGACTTCAAGATTTCCTCCTTAGGCTCCAAAGCTGTCAAATCCAGCACTTTCGTACAGAACCAGAGATGGGCAAACAAATGAAAACCTATCTGTTCAAATTTGAGTTGGGTGTAGGGAGAGGTCAGTGATGATGTATTTTATTTGCACTTTTTAGCTGTTTTTTAGCAGTTGGTTAATTCCTTTTGATCATTGCCTATTTTTAGGAATTTTGTGTTGATGTACAGGTGTATGCAAACACACACTCATACTTACACTCAATATTAAGGTTGTGATTAAATGTGTTGCACTTATTGCATATTGATTTTATTGGAACGCACTCAGGTGTAGATTGCTATGATGTTGATGGTGATGATGATACAAAAAATATAATTTGCCAGCCTCTGAAAACCTATGGGAATGTGTCAGAACATGACAAAGTCAGAATCTTGTGGGATTTTCAGATGCAATCTGATAAGACACCTTGAACATAACACACCAGACATAGTAGTAGAGTAGTAGAGAAGTCGGTACGACTAGATGGGCGGGCTATAAATGTAATAAATAAAATAAATAAATAAATAAATGAAGTAATGTTTGAATAACTGACATTGCAATTCCAGGAGATGCCAGAGTTGATGATAAAGAACTGCAAAAACTAACAAAATACAGAGTCCAACAACTGAAAAGCAGTTGCAGATTTCAGAAATAACATAATCAGAGCTACAAAAACAACCCAGCAATATTAAGATCAGCATATATAATATGTTGATATTTAACAGATACACTTAGCTTTTTTGTTAAAACTTGTATCTGTTATATAATATCTGTCACTGTTTTTATAATTTTAATTAACTGTGCCTGGTATTTTTGAATGATGATGATGGAGTGGTTTTACTTGTTCTACCACTGCCCCAGTGAGTTTCCATGGTCAATCAGATATTGCAACCCAGATCTCCTGAGTCCTAATGCATCATCACTCTATCCACTATACCACCCTGAAAATTAACCAGTCTATATTAGTATTTTACCTGTCATGAACATATATTTTTTTGTTTATTGTTTATTTTATTTGTTTTTTGTGCAGTGTAATTGGGCTTCCTGGCGAAGACGACTGGCCAAGTGATGTTGCTCTCCCAAGGAACGCTTTCACTCCTCGTGCCCCACAGCCCATTGAACTTTTTGTAACAGATATTGATGAACTAGGCAAAGACTTGCTACTCGTAAGTGCTTGCTGTATTCTGGTTTCAGAAGAGAGTTAGTTGTCAGGAACAGATGACCAAAAAATAGCAGTGGCCTATATTAGTTAAATGAATAGTACTAGCGATGACAGATACAGATGACAAAACCTTTGATTACCTTTGTGTAAAATACGCTTAAGTAAGAGGTTGCTATTCCTTGTTAAATCTTCAGGGAGTATGTCAGAAGAAATATATTGTAGAAATCTTAGTGTTGTTTCCTAATTTATAATGATCTCATTTTCCCCCTTCTATACAGAAATGTTTGACATTCAATCCCACAAAGAGAATATCGGCTTATGATGCTCTATCTCACCCTTATTTTCATGATCTGGAGAAATGCAAGGAAAATACAGACTCGGATATGTCATCGAGTCAAAATTCCACTGAGATGAATACACCATAAGGTTGTTTCAGCCTTAACCTACTGAGGAGCAAGACAGATTTCTGTTTAATATCATCATCAAGGTTTTTAAAATAAAACATCATAGCTGTCCAACTGAAGACTACTTCCTGGAACTTCATAGTTGTCCATGTGTTTCTTCAGAAGGACAGCCTCTTTCTCTAAGGAGAAGAACCTAGTAACTTTCATCAGAGCAATGCAAGTGTCAAGATATCCAGTAACTCCCACTGTGGCTTGATGTTTATTTAGTTCTGTCTGGAGATTTCCAGGGGAACAGAAGCTGCTGACCAGTTTTCTCAATATTTTCTCCCTCTAACATGGACACTGCCATGGATTAGAGTAATCTACTTTCGTTACCAAAACACAACTTAAATTCCATCACTAGGTGCTGAAGTCTGATTTGGTATTCCTCTGAAGAGGGGTAATATGGTTTGCCTGTTTATGTGCTTAATTGCAATTGGGGTGGAGAACAATTTCTTAAAGCAATATTTCAAAGAATGACATTGAAACGCTGAGCCTCAATAGATTGCAGTTACAAGGAAATGTGTACAAATGCACCGGGGTTTTCTAATCAACACTGTATTCCTTCCTCAATAGGCAACATGGGATTATAATAATTACAGCACTTCATTGTTCTTCATAGTAACTTGTGCATCCAGCTTAAATGTATAAGGGTGTTATTAATGCATGTGACATTATATGTACATGTGACAGGAAAACGTAGGGTTTTAAGAAAAAAAAATTGCAGGCATCACTTCTTTAGTTTGCTGAGCCTATGTCAGTGTACCTTCATTCTTGTCTTTCAATAGAGTTGTGAATCTTTTAGACTGATTTGTTTCAGACATACATTATGTGCAACTTGCAAGGATCAAGCAGAATAAGAAAAAAGAAGTGTTCTTGTATAATTTTCAGTGGACAGTGGAAATTTATTTTTCCTCTCTCTGAGGGCAAATCTGACAAAGGCTGTAATCCTTCACCCCTTAGACTAAGCTATACTGATCTAGTGGGACTTCTGAATAGACACGTATAGAATTGCACTGCAAGATGGCAGTCCTGTGCTTTTTTCCCCCTGGGAGTAAGCTACACTATACATAATACTTTGGATTTCTTGTTTGGACCACAGTGGTCATTACTTGTGTAAATTCCATTAGTTGAGATCCTTTCTAATATTATTCTGTTAGATGTTATCTGCACATGTGGTTGCACTGCATTGCACTGTTGTGCAAGGGATCACACAATGGGAGCTTCAAGCTGGTACAAGCATTTAGGGATTCCATATAATCACACACACAAACATTGCAACGGCTTGCTCAACAGTGAGCAAAGAGAACTACTTGCGCAAACATTTTTAGGATACTACCATTCTGCAAGTCACTGAGAAAGTGCAACCACTTGTGGAAAAGAAGTTGTGCAATTGCTTGTTAGGATCCTGGCAGTTGATTTTGATGGGCCTAATCTAAGCATGACTGAATCTGGATTCAACTTAATGGACCTTACGTCTGACTAAGCATGGATAAATTGTGCTGTTCTCGTTGCTATCGCACAGATTGTATGCAAAGTAAGCAATAAAACTCAGGCGTTGGAGTACACAACTTATTGTCACTTCAGGTCAACCTCAGATCCTCGGCATTTCATGGAAGTAGTAGATTTTTTTCTGTTTTCTGTACTGTAAAGTGTGAGGCATCCTTTCTCATCCCCGCTTAGGTGGATTGCTCTGCTTATACTGTTTCTTTTGAACTTGCTATAACTGAAAGCCAGCTTTAATCACTAATTCACCTAGCTGCCTTAGCACAAATACTTTAAATAGTACATTGAATTGTGTGTGTATATATACTGTATATATATATTAGCTTAATTTTTAAAAAATATATAGAGAATTTTTAAAAGAAATTTTATTTTTGTAGTACAGTTTGATGAATATTTTTTAATCTGCGAAAGAAAAATATACATCTAGCATGGTTCTATTGCAGTGACTCTAATTAATTTCAGAGGAAAATGACCTGGCATATAATTAGCTGCAACAACCACAAAAACAATGACAGCAGAGGTGGATGCTATTGGAATGAATTGATAATGGCTAGTACTGTGAATGCCCATGGAAGTCTCAGTTGTGTTAATCCAGAAGTGGGAAACAGTGGGTCATCCAGATGTACAACTGCCACTGTTACCATTGGTCATGCTGGCAGACCAACAGTTTGGAGCTTTTAGTAATTAGAGTCCAAAACATTTGAATTGTCCAAGTCTCCCCACCTGTGTGCTAGCTGTTTGTCAGTCTTGTCTGTAATGATTTCAGGTCACACAAATGTGCACTATATCTCATTTGTCATAGGTGCTGAATCATAGTTGGAGTGTGAATTGTGCTATACTTTGCCTTACCACATTCCTTGAAACTCTCAGTCTTTTTTAGAGCTTTGGAATTTAACTCTTTTGAAGTTAACAACTCCCAGAGTTCTGGCTATGCTACTTGGGGAATTTTGGGAGTTGTATTCCAAAAAAGTAACATTTGCAAGTTATGATCCTGCATATTACCCAAACCACTGCCATTTCGAAGATACAGTCACCAAAATCCTCTTGTGTAAATTATACTGGTACAAGGGAAATATCCCACAGTGGCAAATTGCTGCTAATTAGGGTCTCTGCTTAGATTCTAGATCATGTGCAAAGCCACCCAACTCACACACAATGAGATTACAGGTAAGCAATGAGGAAACACAGTGGGGATTTCTAATTAGCAGTAATCTGCCATTGTATGTCACACCATGTCCCCGTATGCCAGTGTAATGCCTGCAAAAGATGTTTTGGCCATTGGAACCATCCAAGGGAAAACTGAGAAGAGACTGTAGCTCAGTGGTAGTGTTCATGCTTCACATTTTTAAGGTGTCAGGCACAGTCCTTAGCATCATGTAATTTCAAAAACGTCTGCTAAGAAGTATGGAGTAGTGTACAATCAAAGTAGACGGCACTGAGCTAGATAGAGAAAGGATCTAACCTAGTACATGGTAGCACCCCATGTTCCTGAAAGAGCTCAAAAAAGTTACTTTTTTGGACTACGACTCCAAAATCCAGCCAGCATAGCCTGCAAGGGAGGATGTTCTAGGAGTTAAAGTCAAATAAATAAATAAATGAAGTCTGAGAAAGTAATTTTTCCCAGTCTGATAGCCAGAAAAGGTTGTTTCTCACACTCCTCTGTGTAGCTTAGTTAATGGTATATTAACCTTGAAAAACTACCCATCTGCTTTTCAGCTGGCTTCACTTGCCTTTGCTTGTTCATAGCCCCCAACTATGTGCAACAGAAAATAAGTTTTATACCTTTCTTCAGCAATGCCCTTACCTGCTTCTAGCATGGGAATAAAATTATGAAAGTTTAGGAATACATCTGCATGGGAACCTCTTATGCTTCCAAATCAGTTCTTGGGGTACAGTCCAGAGATCCCTTCCAGAATGCACAAGGGCTTGTCATGTCTGATTGAGCTTTTCAATTTTTCATTGCTCAAATCCATTCCTTATGTTGCAGTGGAAGCCTCTTGCAATGTTTGTGGAAGCAATTTGTCTGGCAGCTGTTATGAGGTGGAGGCAATTTATAATTCTGCTATACATGTAGAGCCCACCACACAGCTCTCTGGACTGGAACTTAGAGGGTCTTGGGGAAAGTACGAAAAAGCCCCCTGCATCATAGAACATTCCTGCGGCACCTTGTCACCATGTTGAAGAATTTGGCTTGCACTAGCTATGCTGCTGTTGCCATCTGCCATGCTGGTCAATCAGGCCATGTATATGAACTAATGATACTCATTCATGGTGTCCAGGAGGAATGGTGATGCTGTAGAGTAAATCTGATCTCTTAAGAATCAGTTGATTTCTGTTTCATCCCTGAGGTTGATCTGATTCCTAAATGAGGGAGGGGGAACATTGAATCTACCCAGATACTTTGTTGTTGGTGGGTGTGTAATTTTTGACATTTCTTACTCTGGAGTGTCCAAAAGGGGCCTGGGGCATGTGTACTCTTCAGGGTCCTGCTGGTATCCCAGACATACACATGGAGAACTCTAGTAAGCAGTATGTGGGGTTTTTGGGAAGGTATATACAAGAACTGAGGGAAGCGACTGTTGCTTTTCAGAGGGCCCAGAGCAAATAGCCATTGTCCCTGCCCCGTGCCAGGCAATCCTGCTTGTACTGAACTTTATTGTATTTTACTCTATTGCAGGTTGTTACCTTGAGGCTCATCTCTTCTGTCCCATAGTATATCTATGTGGAAATACAATGTGTTATATACTGGCCTGCCTGACTCAAAGATTAATTTTCGCTTGAGTTTTATTTTGCCAAAAAATGCCATTTAACTTATGTATTCTGCTACTTTTCCTTATTTATGTAAGAGGCGCATTTTAAAATAATGTTATACTGTACAAAGGATAGATATATTGGCTGCTAGAAACTATAGCCTTGTTAAGGTGTTACATTTTCTAGTGTAAGTAAATACAGGAAGAAAGGACCATCCTAACTTCTCCTCCTCCATTGCTGCTCTCTACTTGTAGGTCACCACTTCAGACTCTATGTGAGGAGAGCAGTGAGGAAGGCTTGGACCTGCTCTTTCCCCTCCCTGTGTGTGTTTATGCCTGCTTAGAAATGTGCAAGAACCTAGAAATGTGCCATGTGAGATAGTAGTGATTATCCCCTTCAAAACTTACAGATATTATCTTTTCACTATCTAATACCAGATTTTAAAAAAAATTACAGTCAGTCACAAAATTCAAGTCACATTTATGACTGGGTATAAAAACTGTGTTTCTTCTGTTCAGTGAAAATGAATATAGAAGGCCCCATTTTGCTTCAGTGGAATCTTAGTGAAACTTTTAAAGATATTACTCCTATGCTTATCTGAGGCTTGGGTGGGTTCTCCCAGTTATGAAATGCAGATTAGAAATGCTGTTCTTTATGTGCTGTCAGAGTAGGTGAGTCTTATAAACTGATTTTTTAAATAAAACTGTTAACTGGCTTTTATTCATCATATTTCACTGGGAGTCAGAACAATATCTCTTTTATGTGCAGAATATCTGGATGTGATAGAATCCAGCTGATAAGTAGCAGTTGTTCAATATAATAAAAATTGAGCTTGAACTTCAGATGCAATGGGTATTATCCGGAGACATTGTGGTAGAGTAGCATTGAAATTATTGTGGCCTTAATACGTACAGTGTTAGGTTGCCCTCTGATTGCCTTGAAGTTCTACTTAGAATAACTTCAGTACATGCATACTATAATTGCAAACTCCCAACATCATGCCAGGGGTTTTGCTACTTGACCCTTCTGATAAATCTTCTTTGGGCTCAAGTGGTTCAGATCATTGCAAATGCTGCTATTTTGTGGCAACTGATGCCTTTGCAGTGCCTTTGGCCTTCAGGAAAGGCACATTCTGTTTTCTTGCTCAAGACTGTTACCTGTTTGTTACTGCTGCAGAGAAGGGCATGAAACCTTACTACGTAGCCATATAATCCATTGAAGGCCTATCCAAGTATTCTGCTTAGGGTCATTCCAGAATATTAGCACAAAAGCAATGCCTTTTAGCATTCCAGAATTAGCACAAAAGCACAGCCATTTAGCATTTACATTGTGGCTGAAATAATATAGAAAACAAGTAAAACTTTTGCATACTGCTCAGCAATAGGTAGCTGAAATATACAGTATATACTTTCCAGCCTCATTATGATGGAAATGGGTTATGATGAGAACTGTGATGGCAAACAAGAAAAGAACCTGTAGGCAAAACAGATCCACAGATGTACAGCACATGTATAGCGGAGTTGGAAGAGGACCAACAAGTAGAAGAAAAGGTGGACAGGCAGTGGCAGAAGCTGGAAGACAATCAGGCAGAGACCCAGTAATAAGACAACTTGATTGTCAAGCTCTTTGTGTGAGAGAGGGAGAGAGTACAAAACTATTAAGGCAAATTCCAGAAGCATTTAAAAGTAATAGAAGGAACTAACAGAAGAGTAGACCATGATGCTGGAACCTTGTCATCTTTAGTTTTCCAACTGTAACTTACTTGAATCACCATGAGGAGCAATATATATAGCATTGCCCCACTAAGAGGGAATGTGCAAGATGCCAGGCCGACAAGTTCCAGTTACGATTTGAGAACTGATTTTGGGTGCATTTTCAGTTGTCTTCTCCAGGGGAATTTATTCACCATTGAGTTAGATTGCACTTCTTTCTAATAAAATAAAGAAAGAGGAGGATGCCACATTTTGAATGAATTGCTGTGATTCAGTAAGAATTGCAACTTATTGTTCTCGTGTCTCACCACAAGGGGCACCCTTGCTCACACTTGGAGATTTGTAATCAGTTAATTCTGCCAGTAGCAAAGAAGAGACTGGAAAGATCTTGTACATGCATCTTGCTTAAAATGTGTAGAATGTTTCCAAAAACTAGAAGGGAACAAGCATGTGATCATATATGAATAAATCTTCAAGGTGCTTGGGTAGAGGAGAGTAGGATTTTGTGAAGTATTGAAAACTGATGTGAAACCACAGTGATACATGAAAAATAAGGCTACGCAAAACTGTGATATCAAGGAGGGTATTTGTCAGAAAAATAC